CATAACAATGGTACCTCTCTCATAGGGTTCACGTTAGAACAGGGAGGGGGCACTTGGCAAATGCTATTTAAGAAGTTGTTAAGCAAATCATCTTTTTACAGGGGACTGAGGTCATCTTTCGAGGCTCTTTCCCTTTTTCCCTTGTCAAAAAACAAAATTCAATGGCATAAATTTGAAGATCTTTTTGGCTTCATTAAGTGCTTCATAAGTTGGGCAGCATCCCTCCTAGAAAGTAGAAAGAGCTCCAGAAGTTGTTACACAATGGAAGGCTTTTATAGGAAGGAGGCGGAGCAAGAAGCTGTTAACAGGAAAAGAAAGAACTGTTTCAGGCCAGGACATGTTTTTGGAGCCAAGGGACTGGGCTGGCAGAGTGTTTATCCAGCAGATGACATCACTAGTGTTGATGGGGAAATCTCAGGCTGACTCTTCAAAGGTCACGTTCCAGGCATAGGTCAAAACTGTAATTAAGTCTCGGTTTGCTGTCATGGGGGGCATTTGGGGCTTGGTTTTTCCTTTTTAACACCCTTGTCTCCAGGGCCTGGGAAGTCAGAGTCGATGAGAGCAGCAAGGAGAAAAGGACCCAGAGAGGGGACTGATCTGCTCAGGGACACACAGAAAGGCAAAATCTGAGCCAGACTCAGGTTCTAGTTCTGCCAGTGCGTGATGTGGGACACAAAGGCAGAAGGAAATGTAGATAAAATTAAATTCCTTCTAACCTGAAGCCTGACAAATACTTGAGGCAGGTGGAATATAACGTTCCTCCAGGAAACTCCTGTCTTAACGCTAACGCTTTGCTAGAGGGAAAAACTACCTTAGCTTGACAATGGCAAGGCCTCCAGGATGCTGTGAGTCTTCTTCAGCATTGGAAAATCCTTTTGGAACGACCCTTGGCGTCAGTTTCCCCAACCCCAAAGTATATAATCCGTTGCCCTTCACAATCCTGGGGTAGCAGCTCTTTCCGCCCAGGGGTTCTGTCCCCATGCTTTTATAAAACCACCGTTTTTGCACCAAAGACCTCTCGAGAATTCTTTCTTGGCCGTCGGCTCCGGACCCCACCAAACACACCAACATTCCACAACACAGCACTGGGCACATACAAGTCCCAGAGTGTCAGAAGGCGGGAGCTTCTTTGTGCCCAGTTCCTCAGCATGCTTGTCGATAATTGTGAGGCCTCAGCAGGCACCTACCCAGCCCAGCAAGGGTGGGACACTGGCCCAGGAGTGCACAGGCCAGAGGGGATGTGCAAGTCCATCCAGAGCTCTATGAAAATGAAACCCCCAGAGGGCTCCCACCAGCTGCCTCTGTCTAGCAATAAAAAACAATACAGAAGGCAAAAAAAATCCCTGAGATGTGGGAAGAACAGGGCCCTTCTCTGCCTGCCCTTCTCTGTGATGATTAATTTTGTATGTCAACTTGGCTGAGCCATGGTACCCAGATATTTGGTCAAACATTATTCTAGATCTTTCTGTGAAGGCTTCCCCCCCCAGGTGAGATTAACATTTCAATCAGTAGACTTTGAATAAAGCAGAATACTCTTTATAACACAGGTGGGCCTTGTCCAATCAGTTGAAGGCCTCAAAAGAAAAAACACTGTCGTCTCCTGAGGAAGAAGGAAATCCACCAGCAGATGCCACCCCCCCCCCAACTGAATTTGGACCTGCTAGCCTTAAAAACAGCACAAGCCAATTCCTGAATTGGATCTATACATCCCATTGTTTCTGTTTCTCCGGAGAATCTTAACTACCACATCCACCCAGTAAGGGTCTTTCCTTGTCCTTAGGCCTGTTCCTGCCACATCTAGAGGTAGGCTGGTCAGGGGCCAGCAGTCTCCTTTTCTGGAGAACAGGAACGCAGGCAGAGAGAGGTGGGAAGTCACATAGCTTGTAGGTTGTCTGGCTAGGTTCTAACTCCTCATGACCCGATCCCAAAGTCCAAGCTTTATCATTTTTTTAAAAACATTTTATTTTGAAATAATTTGAAACCCTGAGAAAATGTGCAAGATGAGTATAAAGAAGTCTCTTATGCCCTTCCCCCAGAATATTTTACCACATTGGTTCCTCATTCTCTCCACGTGGGAGAGAGGTCTCCCAGGACCCCGGGATCACAGCCTGAGCCAAAGGCAGACACTTAACCAACTGAGCTACCCAGGTGCCCCATCTCTCTCTCTTTTTTTAAAAAATAGACTTTGTATTTTAAAGTAAAATGAAGCAGAAGGCCTAGAGATTTCCCAGAGACCCCCTGCCCTCCTACGCACAGCCTCCCCCACTATCAACATCCCCTTCCCCCGGACTGGAACGTTTGTTAGAACTGATGAACCCATATTGACATGTCAAAATCGCCCAGACCCCTTTCCTCCTAAATACTTCAATATGTATCCCCTAAGCACATGGATATCTTGTTACAGAAACACAGAGCAGTGATGTGATTTAGAACTTTAACCTTGATACAATGCTATCATTTCCTATAGCACTTATAAAGAATAGATCCTTATATTCAATTTTTAAATAGTTATTCTAATGCTGATCTTTATAGCCTCCTCCCCCCACCCCCACCCCCGCCCCCGTCTCCTCCCCACACCCCCACCCCCACCCCCGCCCCCGCCCCCACCCCGCTCTAGGATCATGTTTTCTGGAGTTGTCATGGGTCACAGACAGGATCCCTGGGAAGCACTGGGGAAGGGATGGTGTCATTTTGGGGGAAAGTTCCCTGTGTCCTAATGATCTGTCTTCTAAGTGTTTTGATGGTGCAAATTGACTAATTCCCTGGTTTGCGGCCCATTTAGTCTGCTCCTAGGGACACCCTATTTTATGACCAGCTCTTTAACTCTCTGGGGCTCAGGGGCTCAGGGCCTCCCAGCTGCCCCCTCGACCCTACCCCTCACAGGAAATTGTGTCCACCTGATGGGTCAGTGTTGTCTCATGGCTGATATTATTTCAAGGTCCCACCAACCCCAGTGCTATTCAGGGGACCATGATGTCTTCTATGGAGGGGGCCACTCGAGCTTCGTAGTGATGCTGGGTCTGCTCACTAGCCTATTCCTCATAGCCTCGGTAAAGGTGTCTTCTCTGCTTTTCCTTGGGAGATAATTTGATGGCTCTTCTGGCCTTATGTGGCATATCCACCCCCTCAAGCCCACCTCTCTGACCTTTAAGCCCCACCTTCCCCCATCCTTCAGGCAATATTGTCATTCGGATCTCACTCAGCACAGCTCTTAACCTTTTCCATTTTTCTAGAAGCTCTGCTAGCAGCAAGCTTGCACCTTCTGGGCTCCTGGACTGCGTATGAAGTCCTGAATTCCAGGAGAGACTTCCAAATCAATAAACTCTTCCTCATCCGGTCTTACACAGCAGCCCCTTGATCAAGCACCCTTGGGTCCACTCCCACTCATACCCACCTGGCTTTTGTTGGTACACGCTGGCTGGGTTGTCCGGCCGTTTGGGGTACAGGTCCATCTTTCCCTTATTCGGCCCAGCATCCCTGGCTGGATTATTCTGGGACTTAACCCTAGTCCTACTCACCGGGCAGGAGGGGAAGTGGGTGCAGGTCATGGGGGCGGGGGATGATTTATAGATGAGAGGCCTCTGCAGGGTCTCCTTGTAAGGCGGGAGGTGCTAGTTTTTAACGGGAGGGGTGCAGCTCAGAGGGTTCAGAGGAATCGGGGGGCTCAAGCTCTTCGGGGCCTCCACCCCTTATGTCCCCCGGCTGTGTGTCAGAGTCCCATTCTTTCCCAGGCAGGGTCCTGACCCTAGTCCGCAGACCTGATTACCCACTGAGCGGGGGGCTATCGTCAAAATGACAGGTAATGGCAAGTGTTGGGGAGGATGTGGAGAACCCCCACTCATTGCTGGAGGTGGTGTGAGTGGTACAGTGCTACGGAACACAGTAGGGTGGGTCGTCATGGTTAAATACAGACTTATCATGTAAGCCAGCAATTCCACTCCTGGGTATATACACCCAAGAGAAATGAAAATATGTTTGCATAAAATCATATGCCAACATTCATAGCGTACTCTCATAATGGCCAAAAAGTGGTAACAGTCCAAACACCCACCAGTGGATGACTGGGAAATGACTGGGAAAACACAATGTGGTCTCTCCATTCGGTGGAATATTGTCCAGTAATAAGGGTTGAAGCACGGAGGTGGAAGCCGCAGCATGGACGCACCTTGAACACGTGAGGCTGACTTAAAGAAGCCGGACACAAAAGGACAAATATGGTGTGATCCCATTCGTATGAGTTGTCGATGACAGAGACAGAAGCAGATCGGTGGTGGCCAGGGATTAGGGGGGAAGGTGTGGTGGGAATGCAGAGTGACTGCTAATGGGATTCAGGTTTCTTTTGGGGCTGATGAAAATGATCTGGAATTAGGATAATGGGTGCCCCTGGTGACATGGCTCACCTGGTGAATATCGTAAATACGAACTTTGTGACTATCCCCACACCGCTGAGTTGTACACTTTAAAAAAGTCGAAATTCACAGTGTGTGAATTACATCTCAACTGCAGTGTTTTTTAATTTAAAATTAAATTGACAAATTAAAAAAAAAAACCATTGTGCGCATGCTGCATTTCTGGACTGGGTCCTCATTCCCCTCTGCCTTCTGGCTGCTGGAGATGGAGCCTCTTTGTGTGCTCTGGCACACAAGAAGGCCCCCTGGCTCTCTGCTTAGCTTGCAATTGCTGATGGATCACATTTAGATTTTCGTTATTTTTTAGCCCCTAAGGCTCTTGCTTCCTGGTAAGTTTTTTTTTTTTTTTAAGATTTTATTTATTTATTTGAGAGAGGGAAACAGAGACAGAGAGCACGAGCAGGAGGACCAGCAGAGGGAGAGGGAGAAGCAGACTCTTGGCTGAGCAGGGAGCCCGACATGGGGCTTGATCCCAGGACCCGGAGATCATGACCTGAGCTGAAGGCAGACACTTAACCAACTGAACCACCCAGGCGCCCCCTCCCCCAGTAAGTTTTAATACTGGCTGGGGTTACTCCCTCCTTGGAGCTCTTTTTTTTTTTAATTTTCTGAACTTTCCTTGGCACATGTATGTTTCCATAAGACCTTTAGTATCAGTTTGTCTAGTTCCGGGGAAAGTGCTTGTGGGCATTTTTGTGAGTATCTTTAGGATCATTAAATGTATAAATCAAGTTGGAACTGACATCTATCTAAGAGTGTGGCTATATCAGGAAGCCCTCAAAAGTGACAGTGGGGTACTATGTCCATGCAAGGGTAGCCATTGTCAGAGACCAAGGAGCTAGAGTAAAATAAATCCCCACTGGGATCAGCCCCACCCAGGTGACATGTCCTCCTTACTCCTACCTCCTGGGGCTACCCCATTTCCCACCATCTCACAATTCCCCTCATTCGAGTCACTTTAGGGGGGAGGCCTAGAGTCCGTGTCATGAAGATAGGAGTTACTGAATTGAGACCCACCACCAGTTCCTCCCAGGACGAGCAAGGCCAAGGCCGGGCCCCCACCTGCTGCTGGGTGCTTGGCGGGGCAGGTCTCTGCTGCCCACAAGTGTCTGCCCTGAGCTCTTGGAACTGGCCAACCCCAAAGGTGTAACTTGGGGTCCTGAGAGTCCCACCCCCGGATACGCAGGCAGTCAGGGAGGTGAGTCTAAGGAGACTTTATTAGCACCGTGTGCCCTTAGCATCAGATGGGGGCACACAGGAGGTGCGAGCCAGCTCGGCCTCTAAGCCTCCACCACCGTAGTCCCAGGGGAAGCAGAGGAACTGCTCTCCGGCATGGTCTCCCTCCCAGAGAGCAGCGCTAGAGAGGGGAGGGCTCCTCCTCACCCCCCCCCATCCTGCTTCCCTGCCCTGGGCTGTGTCCCCCAGTTCCTATGTGGAAACACTCTTCCTGGTGTGATGGTACGAGGAGGTGTGCTCTTTGGGAGGCGATGAGGTCTTGAGGGTGGCGTCCTCGTGAGTGGGATTCACGCCCTCATAAGAAGAGGCCAGAGGGATGCAAGAGGAGTGCAGCCTGGCAGGGGCTCTCAGAAGAACCTGACGGTGCTGACTTCTGGCCTCCAGAGCTGCCAGAAATACATTGTGGTTGATAAGCCCCCGGGTCTGAGGTACTGTGTTATAGCACCCTGGTGGCGCTCAGCCATGGGCCATGGAGAGTCAGGCTCGCTGAGACACGCAGGGGCTGGGGAGCAGGGGGTGGGAGTGCGTCCTGGCTCCTTCCCTTCTGTCTCCTCTGGCTCCTCCCTCGGGGCTGGACCGCCCACTCACCCACCCAACAGACGTTCACTGTGAATCCGCAGGGGTGCTGTCCCCGAGGCCCGCTGTGGGTGCCGGGCATCTGCTCCTCCCCGTGCCTGCCCTGTTGCCCGAGTTCCGGCTGTGATCTAGATCGTGCTGAAGGCGGGGCACATAAGGCATCTTCCCGCCGTGCTGATGGCTAGCAAGCCCTGAGCCTCGCCTGTGGCCACTGGAGCCCACATTCTGGGTCTGGCCCCCCGCTTTGTGGGTGTGAGTGCCATTGGCTGCAGTTGCCTCCCGACCTCTGATTCGGCCGCAGTGCTCTAATCTTCAAACCCACAGTCCAGTTGCGGCCCCTGCCTTCCGCTCCTCCAGACCATCCAGGGATTTAGATGGAATCCCTTTCTGCTTACGATTCTTGGACTATTTTGTTTTCCGTGCTGAGTCTTGACTACGGGGGACACTGTTGTTGGCCCAGAGGTCAGGAGTGCCTCTTACAAGGAGCCGGTGCATTTGCCCTGGAGGGCAGAGAGAAGCAGGCTGAGCACTGTTGTTTGGGCACTGGCTCACGTTCAGCCTCTGGGGATGGAGAATCCCACTGGCGATGTTCCATCAGGTCAGGAGAGAAGAAAAGAGCCTAGTAAAAATTCAGGAAGGCAAACAGGGCATGGCCTCGAGATACGCACATGGGGAGTGAGCACAACAGGAAGGGGAAAGAAAATCAGGCTCTAGTGAACAGGCATTCAGTCAGGTGTCCCACGAGAGGGACTGCATGGTACGCGTGGCCCCACTCCCTCTGTCTGTGACAAACAACACCAGCCAATCTGGGCAGGCTCTCCTGCCAGTGGCTGAGCTCAGAGAGCTCCTCAGCAGGAGATGTGAGCTGGTGTGGAAGGGCAGAGAAGTCAGGAAGGAGGACATTCTCAGCAGGGGCAGGATGCAGTGTGGGATGTACCCGTCTCTGTCTGAGAGCAGAGTCATGGCAGGGAGGCTGGAAAAGCAGGCTGCTGCCAGCCCATGGACCCTGGATTCTGATGCGTGGCCACAGGAGGGAGGCGAGTCTGCGAGGTGGCCAGTGCCCACCTGATACAAGGGGGTATCAGCCAGGCTGGCTACACAGAGCAGGAGGAGAGCACGGAGTGGGGAGGCAGGGATATCAGATGGGAGGCTGGACAGAGTGGTTGGATCAATCTCTCACACGTGCATGTGCACACGCGCACACGCGCGCGCACACACACACATCTGGCAGGTGACCCTGAGTCTCCTCATGCCGAGGGTTGGTGTCCTTCTGTCCGTCTGGTACAAACGTGGACTCTCTGGCCTTCACACATCAGGCTGGGGGAAGGTTAGAGAAGAAGTGGGTTAGCCCTAACCTTCCTGGCGAAGCTGAGACCACAGGGACAGCCAGCACATGGGGCAGGGGGCACACGTGGGGCCATGGCTGGGCCTGCCCGTTTGGCTGGAGTCATGGCCCTCCCCTGAGCCCACTGCCCCCAACGAAGCGTGCCCTGCTGCACCATAGTTCTCTTACCTTCACTGGCCATGGCTGGATGGGGCTGCCGTCCCTGCTCATGCAGCACAGGGCAGACATGTAGGCGGCGGCTTCCTTGGCCAGCAGGTCCCAGCGGGCATTGTGGCCGAGGTTGCCTGTCGGGTCAGCTGGATCCAGGATGATGGGCCTGCAATTGCCACTGGAGTCAGGCTTATTCCTGGTAATATCGGGGTGTCCTCCTGAGAGACTGGTTGAACTAGTCTCCTCCCTCACCCAATACTCTGCGCCGGCCACTTCTCCCTTCTACAACCAGGGTAGACGTCACTAATCAATCACTGTGTTCCTTTGGGCCACACCCCTTCAGCAGGTAGCTGGCATTGGTAACAAATCATGGTACCGGTCCTACCACTCTCCCTTCCTACATCTGTGGCAGATGGGACCACCTCAGAGTCTTTTTCAACATACCATGCTAAGTGGCCATTACCCACGGACTGGGGATGCATCACGAATTTGTGAAAGCTTCTCTGCTTTCTCTGCACCATTTGAGAGGGAGGCAAAATCCCAAAGAATAAGACATGCTTACGTTACCTGGTGGGTTTACAGGTAGGGCTGCCAGATTTAACAAATACAAATAGAGGATGCCCAGTTAAATTTGAGTTTTGGATAAACATAAGTATATCCCCAATGCTGCATGGGACATACTTATCCTAAAAAGCGATTCATTGTTTATCTGAAATTCAAACTTGACTTGGAGCCTTGCACTTCATCTGGCAACCCTATTTATGGGGGACAAGGAAACGGATCGCCTGTCCCTCAGGTGCTAAGGACGTCCCTGTTAGAAAGGAGCTCAGTCTTAGGAAGAGGAGTTTGCTGTCCCTGGTCTGTGCCCTCCAGATGTGGGAGAGCGAGCAACCCCATCTTTGAGACTCTGTGACGGTGAGGGTGGGCCAGAACCTGGGCTGGAGAAGCTTCCAGTTCAGGAAGTCTCTGACAGTCTTGTCCTTGTTGCTGTAGTTGACGGTCCAGTAGACACAGAGCTGGCGGTACTGGCTGACCAGCTCTAGGACGGTGCGGAAGCCCTGGGCCATGTTGAATTGGGCGTCCCGGCTGCCCTGCTCCCAAGCATACACTGTCAGGAGTTCCAGCCCGTGCTGGGGGGGCAGGGAGCCTTTCCCCTTGGGCATCTTGTTGCACTGGGGAGTAACAGGAAAGAGGATGTGTCGGTTCACACTGGCAATGAAGAGGGGCAGGAGGGGCCCCTTCCAGAGCTGGCAAGCCCACCCCCAAATTTTACTGAGCACCTCCATGTGTCAGATGCCTGGCCGTGCATTATCCCCTCAAATCCTGTGACCTAGCCCAATTTTCCAGAGAAGCCAACTGAGGTCCCATGGGCTAGGAAGTACCTCTCCTTCTGCTCCACCAACCCAGGGTTCTGGCCAGGGCTGGGCCCTGCCCCCACCCAGGACCTCAGTGGGGCGGCCCTGTCCTCACACCGCACCTGCCGGTACCAGTGTTTCACCAGTCGGATCAGACTCTTCAGCTTGGTGGGCCGAGAGACGATGAAGTCCCGCTGCAGCTCCGTGAAGCAGGTGGAGTACTCGCCTGCGTGGTTGTAGCTGTGGATGAGGTCGACGTAGACTTGAGACGGGGGCCTGTAGCCGGGGATCACCTGGCCTGGAGAAAGGGAGGAGGCCACCATCAGTTCATTCCCCAGAGTCCCGCTGGGGCCAACTGAGCAAGGACTTCCAGGATCTCCTACTTGGGCATTTCCCTAATGGCTGGGCTGGGACCCACTGGGGGAGTGGGGAGCCACAGGATGATTTTAGTTGAAGCACAGACATGGCATGACCCAGAGTTAAAATATCTTATGTTCCTTCCTGCCCCCTTTCAACCCTTCCATTTGCCTGTCATGAAGAAAGTCTCAGCTGGGAGCTAACTCATCTCTAACGGCTCTTGGCTGCTTGCTCATCCCTCTCTAACAAAGGGAGAGCTTTGGTCTCAGAGCCTCCGGTAAGAAATAGGACCGTAGGTGGTGAGCTGACGTCACCCTCTGGTTTCATTGCCCTTAAAGGCATTCCTTGATATTCAAACTCTTGCTTTCTGAAGAACGATGTAGATTCAGATACATTTCTGGATGAATCCCTTCCTTGTCACTTGTTTTCCCAACCTTGGGAACCACATACATTCAGATACAGGGGACGTCCTCACTCTGCAAACTCCCCTATGCAAACTCAGAACTGAATAGATACAAAGAGATCTGTGTCTGTTTTGTTTAGGGATTTATCCTCAGTGCCTGGAGAACACTGGGCACATGCTCGGTGAATTTATTGAACTCATGGATCCTACGGATCTGTGGCAGGTGGAGGAGAACCACGCACAAGTACTCAAAGCTGGGGATGCACGGCGACACCCCAATGCCCACATCGTCAGGGGATGACACTGGCGCTCGAGGCAGCGAAGTCCCTCACCCAAGGTCATCCATCATGTTGGTACAACTGCTGAGACTAGGGCCCAGCCCAGAGCCACTGTGAGACCACGTAGCACTGTTGGGTGAATTAGACAAAGGTACCCTTTTCTCCACTTTGCAGGAGAATGGTGATAAACATACACGGGTACAAGGCCTACAAGGTGAACAGCTGTGCTCTGGTTGTGCACCGCACAACCTCAAAAACTGTCCCTGGCAGCCCGGCCCCCACTTTTCCCCCCTCTCAGGACTATGCCTGGGTACCTCACCTAAGGCGTTAAAGGCTGGCAGCACGTCAAAGTCCACACTCTGGTCCAGCATCGTCTGGGACGTCAGGGAGAAACTCAGTACACGGGAATTCTCCCACTTGGGGATCTCGAACTTCACCTCGAACTGCATCTCCTGCTGACATGCCTCCAGCTGGGCTCGGATCTCTGAGATGATCTCAGCCCGCCTGTTCCCTTGCTCCGTGAACTGGCTGAAGCAGCTGAGGAACACCACTAGATCCGCATCCGAGCAGCCCTGCAGAGCTGTGCCTTTGGCTAAAGAGCCGCCCTGGGGAGGACACAGAGGTGGCTTAACCCCTGAAGGACTCCGGCTAGAGTCTGTGGGTTAGGAACTTGCTGTCTGACCTTGGCAAGTCACCTAACCTCTCTGTTTTACCTCTTCAATATGGGGTTAACACATAGTATGATTATGAGAAAAAGAAATGTGCAAGACATAAGTTTAAACCCTTCAACAAATGTAAACTTTCTCATTCCATCAAGTTTGGGGGTCTGGGGGCTGGGAGAGATTTGAGAGATTTTGTTTTTTTGTTCTTTTTGACCTGGTGGTTCTCAAGCCTGTCTGCATCAGGGGAGTTTTAAAAAATGACTGATGTCTGGCTCCTATGCCCCTGAGACTGTGATTTAATTGGCCTGGGAGGGGGACTGGGTATCAGTATAATTTTTTAAATGATTCTAAGTGAGGCCATGGTTGACAACCAGTGAACCAGGTTATCATCTTCAAGTGTCATGGATGAGGAAGGTAAGGATCAGAGAGGAGAGAGTATTTGCCTGAGGTCACACAACAAATCACCAGGCCTGGGAATTTTCACTGGCTGACTCTATGCTGATAATCTTCTGGAGCTGACCTGGGCCTCACTTGTGACTTCAATTGTGGACTGAGGTTGTATCTGATATAGTGGATAATGTGACTTTTTATACACCACCAGCATCCCTCTACCTTCTGGATAATGTGACTTTTTATACACCACCAGCATCCCTCTACCTTCTGGATAATGTGACTTTTTATACACCACCAGCATCCCTCTACCTTCTGGGATCAGCATCTTGGTTTTCTTTGGGGGAATCACTCCTCCCCCACACTCAGGTCCATGTGCAGCTGACTCCATCATATGAGCCAGGCTTGGCCAGTCAGAGCATGATTTTCTCCCTAGCCCCACGGATTAGTTTGGGGATGGGTATAAACCCGAGTCAGGCCAATGAAACTCAATTCCAAGACTTTCTATGTGAACTTTAAGAAAACAGAATGCCTCTTTCTGGAAGTTTAGAGATGCCAAAGACCATCATATGGAAAGGTCCTGTCCAAAACAGAAGATGGCAGAGCCAAGAGCTGGGATGAAAATCTGAGTCCTGATGACCCTGCATGGGCTCCTAGATCTAGCTGTACCCGATGGTAGATCTACTCCAGGGCTTTCCATTTGCATCAGCCAATATATTTCTTTTGTTCCACCTTTTAAGTTGGTTGTCATAAGCAACCAAAACAGATGTGTTGGACACATCTGGGTCCTCTCTCTGCCATCCACTCACAACCACATTTTGGTTTCTCTTCTACACCTGGCCTTGTGCTGATTGTCATAAGGATGACAGAAGTGGGTCAGGCCTGGCCCTGGTCTGGGAAAGATCACCAGCCTGCAGGACCCTCCTTGCCCATAGCTCTCTGGGGACTTACCTTGACCACCTTGAGCACTTTGATAGCAGAATTCCGGAAGCAGTTTTCTCTCAGGAATGAGCAAATGGTATCAATGGCCTTGTTCACCTGAGCCAAGAACTGGCGGTTGGGCTGGAGAAATTCACTGATGAACTTGTCGAGGTCCCCAGCTGGGGTTTGGTAAAGGAGAGCAGGCTATGGAAAGAATCCGGGTAGGGCCAGCTTGAGACAGGATTCCCTAGGAACGCCCCGGCCCTGACTCCTGATATCCTGAGCGGATGAGACTTTCACTATCCCCATAACCTTTCTCTTTCTCAGCTGGTTGGTAGGTCTCTGTGGTAGCATCAGCAGGACCTGATTTCCAGTTCTGGTTCCACCACCAACACACAGCCTTGGTCTCCCCACTTTGAATGGGGGCAAGAACAAGGCCCATGCCTCACCAGATTGTATTATTAAGCACTGGTTACGAGATCCTGCTGAAAAATAGCAAATGCAATAAAATCATGTCCCTTTGGGGGCTGGCTATCATCTTAAGTGGGGTCCCCTAGAAGCAGAGCCCGTGATGGGGATTCCTGTGCATGGATTAACTGGGGGCAGTGCCTGCCTGCAGGAGAAGGGGGGTGATGGAAGTAGGGAGGGCCGGGGAAGGAGCTAAGTAAGGCTCCAGCTGGAAAAAGCTTTTTCCTGATCCCACAGGGAACGCTGGACTAAGAACTCCATCACAGAGCTGGTCTCGCCTTCAAACAAGGGTGGGCCTTTTGTACCCCATGTCACTCAAGCATTGGCTGGGGCCAAACAACCTGTGTCTCAGCTGTAAGCCATCAGTAGCGAACACTCCTAGCAGCTGAGGATGTGTGCACCAGCAGGGAAAGGCGAGCTGGAAGGGGGCCCCAACAGCATCTGCCACCCCAGGGACTCCTCTCTTACCATCACATCCCAGGGCTGCACAGACGGCCCTTCTCCACTCTTAAAGCAGGCCTGAGTCCCCAGAATTGCTGCTTCCTGGGCCAACAGCTCCCAGCTGCCCTGGCCCACATTCCAGGTGGGGTCGGCAGGATCCAGGACCAGGGGCCTGGGGGCAGAGTGGATGCGCGGGCAGGTGAGGGAGGTGGGAATCAGTGAAGGAGCAGGGAGGTGGAAGGGACTAGGAAAGGGTGTGGGAGCTGGGGAGAAGGAGAAGAGTGTCAGGACCTTAGGGTTGGCCCAATCTCTCCCAAGCACAGTAGGGTTCCTGTCTGGCTGCCTCAGGCAGGAAGGTATTGGGTGGTCCCTTAATTTCAGAAATGATATGTTATTGTGTTAATGAAACTGGCCCTGGCTTATCTGGGGGCTCCACGTGTCCGTGCTTCCTCAGTAAAGAGTCCAGAAGGAAGCAGAGTGAGGAGTGGGGTTGGGGCACCCAGAGCCCACCCTGCACCCCTCCTGGACACAATGATGACTCTAGGGTGACAGTGGGGGAGGAGAGGGATGATGCAGGGAAGGCAATGGGCAAGTGGGTCTGCACCTCTTTTTCTGAAGTTGGCCAAGAAGCTGTGTTCTGATATCAGGGTCCTCAAAGCCATAGTTGACTGTCCAGTAGACACAGAGCTGCTGGTGCCGCTGGACAAGCTCTAGGACGGTCTTTAGGCCTTCGGCCATTTTGAAAGAATCTTTCCCACAGCCTTGCTCCCAGGCGAATATGGTCAGCAGCTCCAGGGCGTAGACGGGGGGCAGAGAGGCACAGGCTGGTTGCTGTCCTTTGTTCTGAGCTGCAACCTATGTCACCCAAAGCCAATCAAAGAATGAGTGGATGTGAGCACCTACTATGTGCTAAGCATGGCCTTATGTACTCGGAGAGGGAGGGGAATAGAAAAACAAAACCACAGAAAAAATAGAACCCTTCTCATTTTACAGGTGGATAAACGGAGGTCCGGGGTGGGGTAGTGACTTGTCCGAAGTCACACAATGACCTGAGACTAAGAATCTCAGACTTGATCTCCGCCTGGAGTCTCTCCTCAAAGGTGTACAGGATGGGGGGCTGCAATATATTCAAGCTTGGTATGCCGACATCTGTCGCAACAGTGACGTTAGCAGCAGTGGGTGCTCAGTAGATGTTTGTTGAATGAGTACATGATTGCGAGTGCATTCAGATTAGTGTTTAGTGGGGGCGCTCTGGAGGATGTTCAGGGTTTATTTAGTACAACTTACGCAGAGGACAGTGATGGCGGAACAGCATGAGCTAGGGCTGCGGGTGGGCAAGAACAGGGAAAGCATTAGCAGTGTGAGGATGGAGGAGAAACTGATGAGCTAGAGAGGGATGGTGAACCCCAGCCACAGGAAATGAACACTTGGGGCCTGATGGAGGAGGTGGTCCTTCTACTTGGGATGGCCAATAAGAAGCGAAGGAAGGGAGAGGTCTGCCTAGGAGAGGAGCTGATTGGCTGAGGCAGTTGCCATGACAGCAGCTGCTTCCTGGGAGAAGCTAGGGGGTATGGCAGCCTCACCTGACGGTACCAGTGCTTCACTAGCAGGATCAGGTTTTTCAGCTTGGTTGGGCGATTGTTCACGAAGTTCCTCCGCAGGTCTGAGAAGCAGGCCGCGTGCTCGCCCCTCTGGCAGCCGCTGTTGAGGAGGGTCGAGTAGACCTGGGGCGCAGGTTTGGCGCCAGGGCAGAGCTGCCCTGTGGAAATTTGAAATACTCTGAGCGCAGAGCTCTAACGAAGACATCTGCATGTCCCAGCCTAGCCACTCACCAGCCTTTATTAATATTTGAACGTTAATTACATAGCACTGCAATCAATAATACACAATCTACAACGTAGAATAGCAATCGGAACTTTTTTTTTTTTTAAGCACCAAATATGTGCTGGGTGCTTTTCAGTAATTTTCACTCATCCACCCAATAACTCTTCAAGGTGGGTGATCTTGACCCCAGGCAAGCTATGTAGCATAGCAGTTAAGGGAATTAGACTCCAAGGCACAGGCTGGAGGTGGCCCTCACCCACAGCATCAAAGACGGGCAGGAGGGTCACATCCATCCAGCTTCCTAGGGCCGTGGACACCAGCTGGAACTGCAAAGCCCCGGGCACGGTCCGCTCAGGAAACTTGAGGCTCAGGCCGGGGACTGGGTCCTGCCACCGGGATTCCAGCTGTGCCTGCATCTCATTAAGGATCTCCGGGCGGTGGGCCCTTTGGTCCTTGTAGTCTTTGAAGCAGTTGAGGAAAATGATGAGTTCGGCATCAGAGCCGCCCCTCAGGTCTGTGCCCCGGCCAAACGAGCCCCCCTGCAGAGGAAGGACCATCTCAGACCCGCGAGTGTCCCTGAGCTCAGGCGTCAGACTCTGACCCCAACGGCTGCCCCGCCCCCCGCCCCTGCAGCCCAGACACTACTGGGCATCTCACTGATGCTGGGTCCTGGGGCACCACGACAGAGGCAGTGACCTCTGACTCTTAGAAGCCTGGCAGAGTCTGACTATACCTGTCTGCACTTGCCCTCTGACCCCCAGGGCCCTGCACAAAGTCAGACCAGCGTGCAGCAACAGAGAACGGGGGATGCAGTGAATGGGGGTCAGAGATTAAAGATTTTAGCCAAACATCTGCAGCACCTACTGATTGCACATATGGACCACAGGTTGCAAATTGAGGTCCCAGGGCCAGATGGGGCCTGCAGATGTGCTCTGTTGGCCTGTTTCAATCAACCAACCAATCCATCCATCCATTCATTCATTCAACACATTTATGAGCACTCACATGTACCAAGATACGGGAGTACATAAAAGGTACCTGCTCTCCTGGAACTTATATTCTAGCAAGGGGAGAGGAGTGAGGGACAGTCAGCAGACAAAAGCCCTCAGAAAGTGCTAAGTGCTGTGTGGAGGCACATCAATCAGGAAGGGGACCGGGGATGGAAGAGAGGTTGCAGTTGTAAATTGAGCAGTCAGGCCTCCGTGAGAAGGGGACTTGGGTCCCAGACTTAAAGGAGGGGAGGGAGCCAAGTGGATGGGGGAAGAGCCTTCCAGAAAGAGACACCAGCCAGTGCGGACTGTGCCTGGTGAGTTCAAGAAGCAGCCAGGAGGCCAGGATGGAGTAAGTGAAGGTCAGAGCAAGACCAGGAGCAAATCCTACGGGCCTTGAGGCCATTGTACTTGGTGAAACCACAGAGGATTTTGAGCAGAGGATGGAAGTGGTCTGATTAGGGTAAGAGCGGCTTAAAAAACTATCACTAAACTTTTTTAAAAGCTGGCACTCAGATATATACCTCGGAGGGCAGCACACTCCCCTTCCATGGATGTCCACTTGCCTTGCTGGCCCCCCACTCCTTCCCCTCCTCACTGTGGTGCCCCAGGAAGTGCCCATCAGTGTCTCCACGCACCGACTCACCTTGCTGACTCTGGAGGCCTTGTAGACACAGTTCTCACGAAGGCAACCCAAGATGACATCGATGGCCTTGCCGATCTGCTTCTGGAACTGGGGGTTTGGTTTCAGGTGGTTCTGGATGAAGCGGTCCAGGTCCTTGGCGGCGATCTGAGACAGATCCAAGGCCGTCCCCAGTGTGGAAGGGGTGATGCAGGCAGCCCCCGAGGGGCCGGGAGCTGGGCCTGAGGGCTGCCTGCTCCCTGCCCCTGGGTGCACAGCATGGAGACTGCTGCTGTCCTCAGGGGTCCTCTGGGCAGAGTCTCGCTGGATGGGGTGGCCTAAACCTGAGCTCCCGGCACGTGGAAGGCCCTGGAAGTGTGTAGGAAGGAGTTGTCTTACAGGCATAGGAGTTTCTCCAGCCCTTCTCTCGCCAGCCCCCTCCCAATGGACAGTCAGGATGACTGAGACTACGAGCGGGGAAGTGGGGGGGCCACCGTAGCCCATATGGTGCCTTTGTGCAGATTAGAAGAGGGTGCCCTTACAGACGGGATCAATTCTAGAAAGGGCCCCTGTGCTGGGCGAACACGGTGTGGTAAGCGGACAATAACCCCGCGAGCACAGAGGTGTTCCTCCAAGCAGGCTCAGCTTGGTGAACAGGTTGTTTGCATGCCTGCAGCCCCCACTCCGCAACTCTGTCCCACACCCCACGGCCCCAGCGCCCGCTAGGCGCTCAGCAAACACTGAGCATGTGAATTAGGCGCGGCTTTACACCTAACAAGGATCCCCAAAGCCCCTCACTCACGGGCCCCTCCCAGGGCTGCACAGCCCTCCCTGCCGCCTGCAGGAAGCATGGGTGCTCATAGCAGGACTGTGCCTCCCGGGCCAGTAGATCCCAGCACCACACTGCTCCGTCCCCCACATCCCACGTGGGGTCAGCTGGGTCCAGGATCACAGGCCTGCAAATCCAGAGGGACAGGAAGGTTCCGGTTGGTACGGCGGTCAAGATCAGGGGCTCTGAGGTCAAGCAGACCTGGTTCCAATCCCCGTTCTTCTACTTTCTAGCTGTGTGACCTGGGGTAGATAACTTACCTCCTCTGAGCCTGTTTCCTTTTGTGCAAAATGGGGATGACAACAGTGCCTGCTTTCGTGGGCTGTTGTGGAGATTAAATTGGATCAATGGTCCTCAACTCTGGCTGCACATTAGAATCACAGGGTACGAGGATCTAGCCCCAGGGGCTCAAGAGTTACGGCCATGGCTTAGCTGTCTTATTCCTACGTGTGTATCCAACGGTGCACGCACACAGAGGTACACGTACAAGACGGTTCCTAACAGCCTTCTTGTAACAGCCCCGGGGCAGAAACAACCAAATGTCCATCATCAGCACAATGGGAAGCATACTGTGATAAATTCACACAATGGAACACTATTCAGCCACACAAAAAAATAAGCAACAATAACCAAGTACACACAACGATCCAGAAGGATCTCAAACACTTAACGTTGAGAAAGAGATGTCAAACACAAAAGTACATGCCGTGTGATTCCCTTTCGGTAAGATTTTAAAACAGACAGGATTGGAAGGGTAACAGCCGGAAGGGGTCACCTCTGGGATGTCCCTGATCGGGAGAGAGAAAGGGGAAGCTCCTGAGGTGCTGGAAATATTCTCCCTTGATATGGTGGTGGTTTCTTTTCTTTTCTTTCTTTCTTTTTTTTTTTTTTAAGATTTTATTTATTTGACAGAGACAGCGAGAGAGAGAACACAAGCAGGCTCTCCACTGAGCAGGGAGCCCGATGCGGGGCTCGATCCCAGGACCCTGAGATCATGACCTGAGCTGAAGGCAGACACTTAACCCACTGAGTCACCCAGGTGCCCCTGATGGTGGTTTCACAGGGACGTTCACTTTACAGAATGTCATCAAAATGTGCCCTTTGGATAGGTATGCTGTGTGTCACTAAAATGTTCACACGTACAATATGTTCACACAAGAAAAATCTTTTTAAAAACTGCCCCAAGAGGGGTGCCTGGGTGGCTCAGTGGGTTAAGCGTCTGCCTTCAGCTCAGGTCATGACCTCGGGGTCCTGGGATCGAGCCCCACATCAGGCTCCCTGCTCAGCAGGGAGTCTGCTTCTCCCTCTCCCTCTCCCTCTGCCCCTGCACCCCACTTGTGCTCTCTCTCAAATAAAAACAAAAACTGCCCCAAGTGATCGTAATTTCCCTCTGGGGCTGAATCCACGGAATGAGGAAGCCACGTGCAGTGAGTGCCTGGCTTTGGCCCCCACGCAGGCCCACCCAGTTTTATCGTTGTTAATTATCTCCCGAGGCCTCAAGCCCAGGAGAGTGGGTAGGGGGTGTGGGGAGGTACCTGGTTCTCTCAAGCTGCTGCCTCAAGAACTGGCTGACCGTAGCCTCCTCGAAGCCATAGTTGAGGGTCCAGAAAACACACAGGTGCTGATACTGCTGGATCAGGCCCAGGACGGTCCGGAGGCCTTGGGCCAGGCTGAAGGCATCCTTCCCACAGCCCTGCTCCCAGGCGAATATCGTCAGCAGCTCCAGGGCATAGGCCGGAGGAAGCATCTCCCTCCTCCCCTCCTGCTGGCACACCTGTAAGAGGGTAAAGGGGAGGGGAAGGAGAGAGCTCTCCACAGAACTTTGCTAGATCTCTCAGTCCCTGGGGCGTGGACCCCACAGGCTGAAGCCTGGGATGAGATGCTGTGTTCTAGAAGCAACCTGATCTTTCTCATCTGCCCTCACTCCTGGAGCTTCAGCAAAGTCACGGGCTCATATGAGATCCAAGCTCCTGGGAATGGGGAGCAGTCAGAGAGAGGCCAGTCGGTACTGTGAACCTGTTACTGATCCCCCAAATGAAAGCATGGCAGAACTTGCCCAGGGTCAGAGGGCAAGTCAGTGGCTGAGCAAGAACAGGAATCCAGGACCTCATCATCCTAGACTTGCTTTATGATGAGTGGTCCAACAGAAGGACCAAGCCATGTGCCCTGAGGTTTTGCGGGGCCTGATCTCTCATCTCTAGGCACAGGCTGGGCACCCCTTCCTCAATACCCAAGAGCCTATCCACAAACATGAATATTTTGGAGGGAGGGTGTTATTCCTGAGGCTGGGACGGGAGGTGTACAAACTCCACATTACTTCATACCATACATAAAATATTCCAAGTAGTTTCAAAGCCCTAACACCACAGGAAAAGAAAAATCTTAAAACCTTTTGAAAGGAAAGAATAATTTTTCTTACAGAAGAATAATTTTTAGAAAGTCAGGATAGGCAAAGCCTTCTTACACAAGACGCACAAAGCACAAATCACTTAAGAAAAAGATGAATGCACCTGATTACATTAAAATTCAAACATTATCTGTGACAAAAGACCTATGAACAAAGTGAAAGTACAAGCCTCGGACTAGGAGAATAGATTTGCATTATATCAACTCCCTAAGAATTAGCACCCAGACTATATAAAGAGCTCCAACAAACCAACAACAAGAAGACGGCTAACGCAGTAGAAAATAATAAGCAAATGACATGAACAGGCAATTCCCATAAAGAGACACATGAATGTCTGCGAAGCCTAAGAAAATATTCTTGCTGTCATGAAATCACAAATTCCGTCACGAGTGCCTGGAACAAGGACCCTTGGTGGTGGCCTCACCTGACTGTACCAATGCTTCACCAGCAGGATCAGGTTCTTCACCTTTGCCGAGCGAACATTCACAAAGTTCCTCCGCAGCTCTGAGAAGCAGGCCGAGTGCTCGCCGCCCTGGCAGCCACTTTTGAGAAGCGTCGAGTAGACCTGGGGCGCAGGTTTGACGTTGGAACTGAGCTGCCCTGGGGGTGTGAAGTGCTATGAGTCAGGAAGGGTTCTGAGGCACAGGATGGAGAAATTGGGGGGAATTTGGTGGCAGGGGGAGGAATCCACTAGCATGGGGGGTTTGGAGGATGAGAAAGAGAACCTGGAGCTTCTCAGGAGGCAGAGAGGAAAGCTCGAGACCAGAAGGAAGGGTCCCTTCCTTCCAAACCCAGGGCCAGGCTGAAGAAGAGCAGCCATATTCCAAGGTGGCTAAACAGGAATGATGCTTTGAGCTGAGTCAGGAGTACGTAGAATCTGACAGTTCTCCCCTCCCCGAGGCTCCCTCAGGCGGCACCAGAATACCACCATACATACCTTTAATTAATCGGTGCCATAGGGAAAGGAAACAAAGCTGGAGAAGTAAAAGGCAAAAGGTCCTGATGCCTTAGCAGTGATGGCTAATATTGTTTGAGTGCTCACGACACTCCAGGCAGGCACTGGGCTGAAAGTTTCACGTGAGTCCCCCATAGCCGCACCAAAACCTGATCAGGCAAGTGTTCCTCACCTCATTTCACAGCTGAGGACCTCGAGGCACAGTGAAGAAACTCAGTACTCTTTCTAAGGTTACCTAGCTGACAAGTGATGGAGACAGGATGGGAACCTAGAGCTGGCTGACTTTACGGTATGTGCCTTTCCCTCCACCTCTTCCCGTGGGCCCAGCCTGGGAAAAGTAAGCCTTCTCCGTAATTTCCCAGGTTCCTGACACCGCTTACTTGCTGTGTGACTTTGGGCGAGTTACTGTCCGTCTCTGTGCCTTAGCGTCGCTCTTGGTAAAAAGGAAGATACGACAGTGCAGGTCTCACAGGTTTGTTTGGAGGGATTAATGAGATAAAATATGTCAGGAGCTTGGAACAGTGAAGCATTTAATAAGGAGTAGCTATTAGGATTAATGTTTGCATATCCAGAGGGTGGGATGTACCAGACGGGGAGAGCGTGGCTGTCTTCCAGGACCTCATAACTGGATAAACTCAAGAGACCTATCTCCCAGGGCATCATGGTTAATAATAATAGTGGAGAATAATAATAATAATAAGAAGAAGAAGAGCAAGCACTCATATAGCCCCATCATGCGCCAGGCACCGTTCAAAATTCATCACATACCTTAATGCATACAGCCTTTCCAAAAACTCCGTAAGATGGATTAACTAGGGTCCCATTATTATTAACCTCATTTTACAAGTGTGGGCACAGGGGCACCTTATTATATTAAATCAAGGATGGATATATTATGAAGAGGAATGCAAAGATCACATTAATGGTTTTAAGATAAAAGACAAGACTTTGCAGAATTCTGGCCTTGTCCCCAGCCCCCTACTGCCGGGTGCATGCCCCTCTGCTTTCTCCTTTGGGGGTATTTATGGAAGGGCTGAGCAGCACTGTTCTAGGCAGTGGCTGAAGGAAACTCCCCAGTTGCTTGAGCGAGGGCGGGGCATCTGGACACCAAGACCACAGATCCAGGAGGAACTGGGCTTTCTTGGCCCAGACTCAGTATGTTCAGTGAGGAAACTGGAGCCCAGAGAGAGTTGCCCAGGCCACACATAAGGTCAGGGCAGGAAGCTCTGTCTGACTCCTAATGCTCTTGCCCCCAAGTCTGGAATGGGCCAGGCACCCCTCACCCAGAGCATCAAAGGCCGGCACCAAGCTAACATCCATCCAGTTTTCAAGGTCCGTGGATACCAGGCGGAACTGTAGGACCCCAGGCCTGTCCTGCTCAGGAAACACAAAGCTCAGACCGCGGATGGGTTTCTGACACCAGGGTTGTAGCAGGGTCCGCAGCTCGTTGAGGGTCTCTGTCCGGTGAACACTCTCGTCCTGGTAGCTCTTGAAGCAGTCAAGGAAGATGACAAGTTCAGAATCACAGCCACCCCTCAGCGCGGTGCCCCGGCCGGCGGAGCCTCCCTGCAGAGAAAGGGGAGACCATGTGCACACAGCAACCGGTATTTGGCGCCATGCAGAAATGCAGGTCGAGCACAGCCAGCTATGTTTTCGAGAAAAGCCATTTTCATTTGTAAATCCGTGATTTCTAAATGTTGTCAACCAACTTTGAACATTTTTGTGAGTTTAAAATTTTTTATTTATTTTTTTAACTGTGGGTGAAACAAATTCTGGTTTGCAGAACATGTTTGTGACCTTTGCCTGGGATTCAGTCCAGAGCTACGATATGACTTGCTGAATTTTCAGGACTTTTCTGACAGGTGTTTCTTTCTGCAAAGCTGTTGGCTGAGGACTTGGGAAGGAAACTCACACACGATCAGTCTCTCTGTGCCTGCAGCTCTGTCAAATGTCTGCCAACCTGTAAAATCTCACTTCCAGGCAATACCCCTGATGTGGTTTACTTGTGGTTACACGAGGCAGTGAGGCTCAGGGCGTGAAGTGAGTAACACAGCCAGGAAAAGACAAGAACCAGGGTTAGCCCTCCAGGGGCACCTCCCCCACCAAGCTGGGATTGCTAATTACCCCAGTGGTATCCCAGTTCCTTTGCGGCCAGCTCCTCACATCAGGGGCTGCCAACCAAGGGGGAACGGGGCAGAGCAAAGAGGAATATTGTAGACTGAACACTTTTGCACACGATCATCTCATTGAAGCTCCCAACAAGCCTGGGAGAAAGGTGACTCGTCATTTTCTCTCACTTTACAAAGGAGGGAATGGGGAAACGAAAGTGCAGGGAAGTTTGCTTACCAAAGCCCTGCCCAGAGAGGCAGCATCAAGTGCTTTGAATGCAGGAAGTCAATTCGGGGGGTTGGGCTCCAAGCCTACATTCTTCCTGCACCCCCTCCCCCATAGATTAATTCACTAAAAAATATGTCTATATTTTTTAGTGTCTAAACCTACCACAAAAGAAGAGAGGGTTATAAAGAAGACTTTTGCCACATTTGCTCTATTTATTCAACCTCTGTTTTCCTCCTTATGTGATTTGAAAAGAAATTCCAGCCACTGTGTCATTTCATCTGCATACGCTTTCATGGGCATCTCGAACATGGTGATCCCCAGTGAGGGGTGGTGACATTTGTCCCAGGGGACATTTGGCAATGCCGAGAGACAATTTTTGGTGGTCCTAGCTGGAGCAGGGGAGCCCCTTTATGTTGGCCCCGGGGGTGGGGGGTTCTTCTGACAGGACTGCAGAGGCCTGCCCCCCTTCCTTGCTTTCTGGTCCACCTAGAAGCCCCAGGCTCATCTTGCACATCTTATTCCAGCCCTGGAATCAGCCATTCTTCCAAGGAGCCCTTTCCACAGGGAGCAGCATCTCAAGACAGGAAAGGCAGCCCCTAGCCCTACCCACTTCACCACTGCCTCCTTCAAAGCCTGGAACGATCAGAAGGCCATAAGCTACATTCAACCACGAGAGCTGTTTCCAGGTTTTCCAGGGAAGCAAAGGATGCCAGAGCTTTAGAGATTCTTAAACTCTTGCTCCAAAGGAATTCTTCCTGTCCACCTCCAAGGCAGAAATCTGCCTCCACATTTCATAGGCTGCGAGTCTCTCCTTCTCCTTCCCCTTTCCTACCTCCCAAGCTAAGACTCAGCCCTAGGAAACCACTAGCTGCTCTGGGGTCATCCCCTGCTCATCCCTTCCCTGGCAAGCTCCAAGTCCCCTCTACCCCAGCCAGCTTCCCTCGCTGCATCCCTGGAGCCCCTGAGTTTGCGCTGAGGATATAGTAGGTGACGCCCATCTCCTCCGAGTCTGTGGGCAACCTGAGGTCACCAGGTCACCAGCGAAGCATTTAAGTGACAAAATGGGGCAGGGCTCACCCACACCCAGTCCCAGTTTCCCAAGTCATAAAACAGGGACAATAATCCCTAACCTCACTGAATGTGAGGATTAAGAGGGATGACTCCTTTAACGAGACAATGTTTATTGTTATTGGGTAGTTTCTCAGTAAATTAGGCTATTATGGCTATTATAGATTACTCTGTTTCTGCACCCTTAGGGTCAGGCATGGTGTGAGGACTGGAGTCTGTCTGGACCGGGTAAAGGACTGAGTGAGTCAATGAAAGAACCTGTGAGAGGCAGCCCACAGGAGCATAGATGCAAGAAATCAGACCACCTGGCTTTGAATCCTGGCTGGATTTCTTACAAGCTTGGACACATTATTGCGTCTCTGTACCTCAGTTTCCCATGTGTCAGGCGGGGTTAGTTGTCCCTACCCGGCCGGGCTGTGGTGTGCAGTCTATTTTCAGGGCACTTCGAACAGCACTGGCGCATAGCAAGAGGGCTGAATGAAAAGAGCTGATAGAAACCGTTGTGGTCCGCAAAGCCCGTGGTAATGCGCCGGCATCCTCCGAGGATTGTCCCTATTTCTAGGTGTCCCCACCTTCCCGCGGCGCCTACCTTGGCGATTTTCAGCACCCTCCAAGGCTGGGCAGCCGCGCGGCCCCCGGGCTCACGCAGGGAGGCTGCCAGGGCGCCCAGGGCGCGCCGCGCAGCCGCCAGGAACTCGGGGGACGGCTGCAGCCTGCGGGCCACCAGGTTGTCGAGCGCGGCGGCGGGGGTGAGGTACAGGTCCATGGCCGGCTCCGGGACCCTAGCGCGCCCCGGCTTCCCTCTCGCGCTCTGCGCGCTCCCCGGTGCCTGCAAAGCCTAGGCCTTGCCTCTGCGCCCGGAGGCCGGGGAGGGGGCGGCGCAGCTGCGCCAGCCTCCCCCCTCCCCCCTCCCCCCGCCCCCGCGTCCCTCCTTCCCAACTTCGCAGGCCTTCCACTCCCCTCCCGCTTTCAGTTTCATTTCTTTTCAGCAGTTCTGGGCTCTTGCAGCCGCTTTCCCTTTCCCTTCCCCGGCCTGGTTTCTTTTCCTCCGCCTCCCGGCTTCCAGTACTGGGCCCGCCTCCCCTGGACCCGCCCCCCGCCGCCAGCTCCAATGAACTGCACGCGCCTGAACAAAACGCCTCGGCCTCAGCAGGTGCACAGAGCACAAGCACTGGCACCGAGCCGCGGGCCCCGAGCATTTAAGAAACGTGCAGGATTTACGGGAGGACGTGGCTACACCAACTGAGCAGCCTGGAGGAGGTTCCCCCAAACAGAGAACCCCTGGCTGGCTCTCTGGCTGAAGGAGACATTCTAAACACCACCAGTAACAAAAAACACTTGCAGGACACATGTCCCTCCTGCTTTCCGTCCATCATCGCATTCAGTCCTTCCAACAACCAGGATGTAAGTGCTATTCTTATCATACGCATTTGATAGATGAGGAGGTTAAGGTACAGAGAATGGAGGCCCCTTGGCCCAGGTCACATACACAGCCAGAAAGTTGTCAGACTGGATTCAAACCCAGCGCAAGCTCTCAGTACTAGTGCTGTGTTCCTAGAGGAGCCAACTCCTCCTAAATAATGTATACATTTAATGCAATTCCAAAATGTTTAGAATACCATTGGTTAAACATATCGTTCTGGAGTCCGTCTGTAAGAATTAAGAATTATTTTTAAAGAGGAGAAACGAGGAAGGAAGGTCAGTGTAGAATGACACCTCACACAATATTACATCTTTGGCCGTTATAAAGCTACAAGGAGAGTTAAGTCCCTTTGGGACTGGCACAAAACTAGCCGAGGAGTGGAGACCTGAATCTACCAGGTAGCTCACTGCTGTTCTGACTTCATGCCTGTCTTCTCCCTTTCTGGCGGCTTCACGATTGCTTCTCCACCCAGTGGACCAGAACCTGAACTCTTTCGCAGTCCATCCCCTCCGGTAGCAATGAATGTTAACGAGGACTTCCTGAAGTCTGCCTTCACCTAAAGGACATAGATGGGGTCGGAGGGTGAACTTCAGAGTTCCTAGTGAACCAGAAGAAAAGGTGGCAGACTACCAGTGAGCAGTGAGTGCCACATCACTGGGAGGTATTCAAGTGTAGGAAGAAGACTGGTAGGTTCTATGTTTTGCGGGGGGAGGATTCAAGCCAGGTGCCCTCAGCCATAAAGCCATGGTTTCATGCTCTCCCATCCATCAGTCATCTTCTTGATTCACGGGTCACTTTAGAAATCCTCCTTGTGAGATGGTGTGCTGAACACACCCTCGAGATCCTACCGAAATGACAGCAAAGATGTGTTAAAAGTATCGTGCAACTCACTCAATGGGTTGGAAATCAAGAAAGATCGCCGTCAAGGACCAGAACATTTGAGAAATGTGGAGAAGGGAGAAAGCAGAGGGTCAAGACTGGATGAAGATGGTGAGCAGATCGCATACACAAGCCTTCAGCTACCACCCTAGACTCTAGAAATCACGGGGAAGAGAAGAAAAAATGTACTAAGGCTGCTGGATCCTAAATCGAGGCACCACTGGTGAGCTGGAGACACAGGTGCAAGGATGAGATGGAGCAGGAAAATCTCGGCCTGAAACACGGAATGAGGAAAGTACTCTTGTGGGGTGGGAAGGGTTCTGAGGAGCTCAAGGGAGGGACTCAAAGGGGTGTGCAGGGAGGGCTTTGTGTGAGGGGGTGGCAGGCATCTGGGAGCGCTCACTCCGGGCTTCAAAGGTGGTATTAGTTTAAAATTCCCCTTCTCTTGAGCGGGGCAGGGACCTCAGCATCAATGCTAGACCTCCAGCTTCACATCACACAGTTCCTCTCTTTGCTGTGCCCTCATCTCTGTGGGCTAAAAGTTACCCTTCTCAGTTTCTTTACCTCACCAGGAAGTTGCCCAGAATGAGGCAAGACATCTGAGGATGCAGAAATGTGTGACTCAGGTGCTGTGGTTTTCATCCGATCATTTCCTTCCTCCCTTACCCACTTGCACCCCTGTTTCCAAATCTCATGAATTTGTGCTGGAACCAGCAACTCCACATACTGGCACCTAGAGCTTTCTATAACCCTGGGTCTGCTGGCTTTGCATAAGCTACCAGAGCTTAGCAGGAGAGAAATGCTTATCCAAAACACTTTTGGGGGGGGGGCAAGACAAATTGCTTTATTGTTTCTTGTGGTCGTACAAGTAATACAAGTTTATTGCACAAAATTGATAAAGTCAGGGGCGCCTGGATGGCTCAGGGGCGCTGGATTTCTCCCTGCTCAGCAGGGAGTCTGCTTCTCCTTCTCTCTCTGCCCCTCCCCCTACTTGTGCTCTCTTGCACTCTCTCTCTCTCAAATAAATAATAAGTAAAAATCTGTAAGAAGACATTTAGGTCTTCCAGGAACCAAATGCTACAAAATACAGTTAAAGAAAACACACTGGGTACAGTAACACGGAAGCAAGCATGACAGAGGACATGAGAGACGTATGCAGTGAAAAATTGCAATAGTTACAGCGTCATTAAAGAAAATTAAAATTAGTGAAGAGAAACTCCAAGTTCATGGATGGTGTTCTCACTAGAACACTGATGTCATACTTCCTAAACTAATTTATGTAATTCCAATCCAATGCCTCCCCATATTTTGGGTGGAATTTCATACATTGAGTGATAATTAACATAGGAATAGAGAGGGCCAAGAGAAGCCAGGGCTTTTTACCCCCGAATATAAGATTTATTTATTATTACTTTTTAATAGTAACCATGATTTCCAGGAGACTCTCTGGTGGATTGACAAAAAAAATTTTTTTTTAAAGATTTTATGTATTTATTTGACAGAGAGAGACACGGCGAGAGAAGGAACACAAGCAGGGGGGAGTGGGAGAGGGAGAAGCAGGCTTCCCGCGGAGCAGGGAGCCCGATGCAGAGCTCGATCCCAGGACCCCGGGATCATGACCTGAGCCGAAGGCAGACGCTTAACGACGGAGCCACCCAGGTGCCCCAGATTTACAAAAATTAATCGCTTTCACTGTTGGAAGCAGAATAATTGGGAAAAGTGTTTTGCTAAAAAAAAAAAAAAGGAAAAATGTATTGAGTTTAGATTCCAACTACCGATTCCAATTTGGATTATTTTTAAAAATTATTATTATTTTTTTAATTTCAGTGTACTTAACATACAGTGTTATATTAGTTTCAGGAGTACCAGATAGTGATTCACTAATTCTGCACCTTACTCAGTGCTTATCAAAATAAGCATGCTCTTAATCTCCTCAGTCTATTTTACCCAACCCCCCACCCACCTCCCCTCTGGCAACCACCTGTTTGCTCTTTATAGTTACCAGTCTGGTTTTTGGTTTGTCTCTTTTTTCCTTTGTTTGCTTTGCTTCTTAAATTACACATAGGAGTGAAATCATGTGGTATTTGTCTTTCTGTGACTGGCTTATTTCACTTAGTATTATACCCTCTAGATCTGTCCATGTTGTGGCAAATGGCAAGATTTCATTTTTGTATAGCTAATATTCCATTTTGTGTGTAGACCACAACGTCTTTATCCATTCATCAATCAATGGACACTTGGGCTGCTTCCATAATTTGGCTATTGTAAATAGTGCTGCATTACACATAGGAATGCATGTATCTTTTCAAATTAGTGTTTTTGTATCCTTTGGGTAAATACCTAGTAGTGGAATTGCTGGGTTATATGGTTCTTATTTTTAATTTTTTGAGGAACCTCCATACTGTTTTCCACAGTGAGAAGGCAGGGGTTTTGATAAAAAGAGACCAGAGTTTTCTACAAGATACTAAGAATTCTTACAAGGCTATAGTAATTAATACAAGGTAGCAGTATCTCAAGGATACAAAACAGACCAGTGGAACAGAACAGAGACTCACACATAGATGGGCTCAGGGTGTATGTTGGAGGTGGCCTTGCAGGGCCATGGGGAAAGTGTTGTCTCCCCAACAAAAACTGCCGGGGTAATTGGGCATCCAGATAGAAGGACTAGAACTGAGTCCTACCCCACACCATGTAAAAATAAATGCCTTTTGTTGCTTGTGTTTTGGTATTATATCTATGAAATCATTGCCCAATCCAACGTCAAGAAGCTTTTCCCCTATGCTTTCTTCCAGGGCTTTTATGATTTGGGGTCTTTTAAGTCTTTAATCCGTTTTGAGTTGCTTTTTGTGTAAGGTGTAAGATAAGGGTTCAATGTCATTCCTTTGCATGTGGGTGTCCAGTTTTCCCATTGCCATTTGTTGAAGAGCTGTCCCTTCTCCACTGGGTACTCTTGGCAACTCGCTGAAGATGAATTGGCTGTATACCTGAAGCAAAGGCAGCAGAAGCAAAAATTTAGGCAAGCGGGACTACATCAAAATGAAATGCTTCCAAACAGCAAATGAAGCAGTCAATGGAGTAATAAGGCAACCTATGGAAAAGGAGAAAATATCTGCAAACCATAAATCTGGTAAGGGGTCAACCTACAAAATTATAAGGTGCTCCTACCACTCAATGGCAAAAACACTAATGTAACCTAATTTAAAAACGGGCCAGGGACTCCAATGGACATTTCTCCAAAGAAGACACACAAGTAGCCAACAGGTGTATGAAAAGATGCTCCCCATCACTAATCATCAGGGAATTGCAAATCAAAACCATAAGCTATCACTTCACACCTATTAGAATGGCTGTTACCAAAAAAACAAAAGACACAGGTGTTGGTGAGGATGTGGAGAAATTGGAACCTGTGTGCACCGTGGGGGGCGGGGATGGGAGTTGCCCCCAAGATAAAAATAGTACTACCGTATGATTTTTTTTTAAAGATTTCACTTATTTATTCATGAGAGACAGAGAGAGGCAGAGGGAGAAGCAGGCTCCCAAGGAGCA